TCATTTAAAAACATGTGATGTTTTTCCTTTAACTACAACATTTGGTGGTACAATTAAATCTTTTTCCACTCTTTTACCAAATATATTTGCTTTTTCTTGAAGGATGAGTAAGAACTTCTCTAATAAAAGGCCATTAGCTGATGTAACTGGTTGAACTGTACAAGAATGGGTTGTATTATATTTCCTTTTATCAGCCACCTCTGTTAGCCTTTCGCCAGTAAAAGAAAGAGTTCTTGAGGGAACGTATTCCTGTTGAAATGAACAATGATCGCTGTTTAAAATTTCACTTATAGAATAATTTGATATTAAAGATCTTTTACTTCTGATCCACTTCTAAGCATCTAAAATACATATATATCCTATGAATACAAACTATCTAAAGCGTAAATAAAAGTTTAAATACCATTTAAACTGCAAATATTCCTGTTTGATTTAGTTCGAGTAACAATTTTGTTATATCTTCTTGATGATATTCTGTTTTCCCTTTTAAAAGTATTGATAAATGATTTGCTTGCCTTGAATTCATCCCAATTTAATTCTCTTGTTTTTTGAATTGCATAACGTTCAAGATCAGCATCATGAACGGCTTCTTTTTCAATGGTTCTTTTAAAATAAAATTCGTTAAACATAAATTCTTTAATTTGTTTTAATTTTTCTAATATTGTACCATCATTTTCGGTATATTCTCTAAACCTTGTAATATAATTCTCATGTTTGATTTTTCTAAATCGATTGGAAATAGTTGCAAATCTAGCATTCGGATGTTAGTCAACCCATTCGATTATATTTTCCATTTCTTCTAATGTAAAATGATTTTTTAAATAAAATTGATCATTCTCATCAATTTCATTGTCGCTCTCTTCTTCATCAATTATTTTATCATCGCTTTCTTCTTCATCAGTGATTTCATCATATTCATCTTCAAATTCGAGAGTGTCATAAGTATATAGCTCATTGAAGTAACTATTTTTAAATGACTTCAAAACTTCGAATAATCGTTCTGCAGTAAAAATTTCATCGATAGTTGTTGTAGAATTTTCAAATCCATATTCAGTTTGAGCCAAATGGAAAAGATGTTTAACGATGTTCAATAAATTCATGTTTTTATTTGATGAAATAAACGCTTTTTGTCGGTAAATATAGTAGAGAACGAAAAAGAATAATTCTTGGATCGTATATTTCATTGTAATTTCTTAATACCAATCGCAAAGAAATGGTCAATAGATCACCAAGTGACGCATCAATGCACTTTAAGTTCAAATATTATACACGTCGTTTTTCAACCAAATCATATACTTTTCTTTTCAGTGAGATAGTATCTAAGTTCTAGCAGATATCAAAAGTAATGTAATCTTAATGCTATTGATAAAGTTCAGAAAGATTTTTGTAGTCTACTATTGAAATACTCAGTTGAGCGTATAGAAAATTAATGTAAATAGTTCTAATATACTTGTACACCCCAACTACTAATACCGTAAAAATTAAATATCTCCCTCAGGGTACGCCAACAGCAGCTAATATTTTAACCTTGTTAGTTTGGCAGTGAGAGCTTTCATTTGATGCAAAAATATAAAGTCTAGCTCGGTTACAATACAAACACCTCCATTGTAAGATGCTTAGTTTTTTGAAATAATGAAAGAAGTTGTCTAACGTTTGATATTTTTGTTAGCGTCAACAGATGTCGCTCATTGCCACTAAACTTATTATCAGTTTATTTAGTCCTGTTCGATTTTTCTATTGTTCTTTTTTATTATGGCTGTGTCTTGTGACTCAACTTATATATATTATTGCGTCATTTTCTCTTTCTGTTGTGATTATTATATTTTTCTTTGTTGTTGTTGTTATTATTATTTTTATTATTATTATTGCTATTGCTGTGTTATCATAAACATCGTCATTTATTGTTGAATGTTTGTTTATTATATAATAAACATTATCATTATATCTATTTAATAAAATTATTCAGAAATTCCGTCAACCCAAGTTAGGGTAAGCAGTTTTTCATAGCGAACTCTCATTTTATTTGTGCAGACAATATTCTGTTCTGTTATTTCTAAGTCTACGTACTTTATGAAAAGTAAAAACAGTAGTTACATCCAATGCGCGAGCCTCACAATTAGTGAAGAAGTTGGGCAGCAGTACACTGTATATACGACTCCTGCACACGTTCGTATGAAAAACGAACTGCGCAATAGTGGGAGGTACTAGCGTCAGAGATGAATCACTCTGACGCTAAACGAAGATTAAGATGCGCCTTCTAGTCTAATTGGCTCAGGACGTCTGCCCGAATAGCAGAAGGTGTGGATTCGAGTCTCCCGAAGGTCATCTTTTTCTTCATTCTGTCACATAACACCAGTGACACTGCTTGTCCTTTCATTCTATACATATGAAGCCAACAATTTCGAAAAATCTATTCTTAATGATACGAGTTATGACTGAAACTGGTTAAAAGATACTAGAAGTTCCTTTAAATCATAGACAGTTTAGTAATAAGCTCAAAATTAAAGCTCTGATTTCTATAGCTTTTCTTGACTTTCAATAACTTTCAATATTCTTTATGATTTCTCTTGATTTTCTTTCATTTCTACGTATTTCTGGTGGCTTCTATTGATTTGTGGTGAACAGATAAAAATGATTTTCAGGGGTGGAAATCAAAGAACAACCATAATAAAGGTGCTGAGATCAGGATACTTACAAATGAATCCTGCTACCATTATGTCATAGGTACCTTTGGGTATTTGTTGGGTTTTTAGTATTTCTACTAGCTTGTTCAAATATTTTTTATTTATGTCTGTGACACTGGCAATGAGATATCCTGCGGTTAATTGATTCAGTATAGGAATGCCTTGAACCGAGTAAGATAATTAAGAGGAAAATCAAGAAATCAATTTGTTTTCCTTTGATATTTTCAGATCAAATCTAATATAATCAATGGAAGTATAGATTTATATAGAGAATAAAAATACAAAAAAGTGTAGTAATTGTACTAATATATGTTCACTTATGCTTTCTTTATTGAAAGAATCACATTCAAAATATATTCATTTTTTTCTGGAAATCGAATAAAAAAGTCAAAAAATAAAAATATGAAATAACGTACGTTTTCCCTACTTATTATATTAAGTTCGATTTTACGATTGACAAGCGAATAACAGTAAACAAACCAAATAGAATCAAAACTGTTGCAAAAAGAAATTCAATGCTTGGTGATGTTATTACAGATGCAATAATCAAAAAAATCGAGATAAATACAATAATGATAATCAATGGAATAGGAACCTAAATATATAAAAATATTCATTTCATTTTTCCTTGTCATTAGCAACCATAGACACTGATAACTCGTTCTGCATTCTTATTTAGTAAATTCACAGCAAAGCGTAGCAACAAATGTTAATTCCTAAAAGATCCATGCAACAAAACTAAAAAACTCGATCATATCTTCAATATTACTTGGAAGACAAAACATTATTCCAATGGCACCCTTCAAAAAAATAAAATAATAATATTATCATTAGTAGTTGAAATCTGAGAAAACCCTAACACAACTTCACGAACAACATCACGCATCAGAGTCAATCTTCGTATATAAATGCATGCAAATACTTCTGGTAAATATCCATATGAAGCACCAATCATACAATATCGCGCACTTCGAAAGAGATTGTATTAAGACTACCTAATGCACTAACAGAAATGACAATAGGTAGAACACATACAACTGGACCTGATGCAGCTTCATCTCATCTCTATCCAATAAGAAGTTAGTTAATTACTAGATAAGCTTTTGTTTTGTTTTTCCACATTTTACAGCAACAGTTGAGAAGTAATCCTGCTTTGTTGATTACAGTAAAATAAGAAATATTAGTAAGAACATACAGAATTATAACAGAAGGAAAAGGCAATACAATATATAAACATAGATTTCTAGAAATGTAAAGGACTCACCCATAAAGAACGTTCTTGTAAAAATTACATTTTTCGATGAGCTTTCTAGAGAGAACCTGCTCATTCAAATTAATAACAAACAAAAATATAAACACTTACATAGATAGCGCACCAACACTGCGGAGTCAATAGAAACTCATTACTTCCTCGAATTTTCTACGCCTCCAGTTTACATGACCTCGTTTATTACTATTCTGATGAATACAGTCCCTGTCATAATAAACGATCTTTAAAGTTTACTGATGAGTCAACTATCAATAGCATGATCACAAATCAGCTTCCACCTGCCTAAGACTAACTACATAATACTAAATTATTTTGATAAAAATTGTTGAAGTTCGATAAACCAACATTTAATGAGCAATACTTAATTTTTTTTGTGTCTGTTAACATTACAAGTGGCTTGCCACTTGATATTTATAGTTTATTTTTGTTTTATCTAGATGCTAGCAATAAATAACGGAGGATGCAAAGGTTCCTCGAAAATATCGCTTTATTCTTTTATCAGGTAGATCATAACATGTTTTTAAAAAAATAAAAAATACCTGTTCAGAATCTACGCTAATGGTGCTATCTAACTCTATGTTCAAAAGGATCTAGAATTTCATGTCTTTAAGTGATGATCACATCCGTAGATGACACTAAAATGTACTACAGCTGTAAAAAGCAACCTGCAATGATGGTGGCAAAAATGACCGATCTTTAAGCAATGCCATAATATTTTCTAATAGGTTCGTAGAAAATGAAACGATGAATGACGTAGAAAAAAAGCAACAATATATGATGGAACACAATGGAAATATTCTCAAAATACTGAAATATCGATTGCTTCTGCCGCAATCATTGTGGTTTTTATAAAGTATACTTTAGTGTCATTTTAGCATGTAGCCATCACTCAAAGACAAGATATGATAGACATTTGTTGAACATGTTGTTAGAAAGCGCTTTCAGTGTAGATTCTAAAGAGGCATTTTTTATTTTTATAAAACATGTAGCTGATGAAAAATGAAGTAAATATTTTACCAGGAACTTCTGCATCACCCGTTAGGTAAACAACCTGAAGGATAACGTCTTGATCATTCCTGCTGATTGTAACGCCTTTAATTATTTCCGAAAACGAATAATTTTTGAAATTTGAGATAACACTTAACATGCGAATAAAGGTGAATACACAATAGCTCTTTGGAAAAATTTATTTATTGTTCCCCCTAAAAAATGGCATTATACCGCTCATAATCTATAGCAAATTTTTTATTTTTTGACATACATTCGATCTTAATGGACAGGGTGGGTTATGGGTGTGGGTGCGAGTGCGGTGTGGGTAGGGTGTGGGGAGGTATGCGAAGTGGAAGTATGCACGTGCGTATGAAGTTTGCGCCCAGATGCGGGTGTAGGGATGTGGGATATGACTCTGACTTTCAATCTTCTGTTCATTCACACATCCACACCCGCACTCTACCAGAGGACAAGAGAAGAAATAAGAAAAATATTGCTCAAGAATCTTGAAATGGCACAGGTATAAAAAGCAACAATTGATGTTTTTCGCTTCAGTACGTAAATCGATAGCGATAAAGCAAGAAAAAACTCTTGTGTAGGTTTCCAAAAAACAACTTTCTGTCTCAAATCAGAGATCAGAGAGAAATTTATCTTTGCTTGTAAAGATAAAACTAAAACCACATTCTTCTTCTTTTCAGACACTTTTTCACGAAGAGGAAAAAGAAAGCATCATGGTAGCAATCAATTCTCTTCCTCCAGAAGTGCTAACAAATATTTTTAACAAGATTCCTACACTTTCCGAGTTATTTTCCATTTCTACAGCATGTCGTCTTTGGCATTCTATTATTATTGATGAATGGTTTCTTCAACAGAGATTCGAACGTTTTAAAAAAGAAAATATCATCGGTCATTGGAAGTTTGAAGATGCTTCCTATATCGGACATGACTCTTCTGGTTATACGAAGGACAATTATTCCATCATCGGTCAACCTACTCAGACCAATTGTTTTCTCGATAAATCGATTCAGTTCGATGGGTGATCTATGATTACTATACCAGTAAAAGATCTTGCTCGTTATCAAACAGATTATTTTGCCATGTCATGTTGGATTTATTGTGATAAAACATTTCCGACTGAATGGCAAGTGGCAGTAGG